CATGTAGATTTTAACATAGGGGCTTTGTTAGTGAGTATATGATAAGGGTAAGTAAAGAGTGATGGATTTGGCATTAGAAGACCTTGGTGTGATTCCCATTTTTGCTACTTTTTATCTATGTGACCATGGGCAAGTCACTTAACTTCTATGGGGTTCAATTCCCTCATTTGTAAAATGAGGGGGTTGGACTAAATAACCTTTAAAGTCTAGCTCTAAGTTTATGGTCATGTGAATTGAAGAGGACTTTTAAAATATGATTGAATGCCTTTTAAGGGATAGCAAGGAGAAAGATATCCTCTGGTGTCATACGTATGGAAAGAAAGTAGAATATGTTGTAATAAATATAATGTCATATTCAAATGTACTGCACAGACAAAAACCATTCCCCATAGATTTTAGAGTTCTATACATATTTAAATATCTCTACATTTCCTCCCATTTACCATGTGACTTTGAAAGGCCATAATGGAGGGAGGCTTGTAGAACAACAGGTTGGACATCCAGGTGGGACATCTCTAGCTGGGTTAGCTTTGAAAGGAGATTAACGTTGGGCATTTTTATTTGGGAGTCATCTTTGCTGAGATGAAAATTAAATATATGATCTCAAGAATTGGATCATTGAGTGTAGAAGGTGGAAAAAAATGGCTAGAAGGGAACCTCGGGAGATGATCCAGAGAAGAAACTGAGGAAGAGGTGGTCAGAAAAGTAGAAGAACCAAGGCCAAGCAGTATCATGGAAGCCAAGGGAGGAGAAAATATCTATGAAAAGGCACTAAGTAGTGCGGAAGCCTGCGGCGTGGTCAAAGTGGATAAGGAATTGGGAAAGGCTATGAGTTTTGCAATCAAGAGATCACTGATAACCTTTGAGAGAAGATTTTCAGTGGAGTAATAGGTCTGGATGAAATATTGCAGGAAATTGAATAATGAATGGGTATTGAATAAGTAGAGGTAGTGATTGTAGACTTTCTAGGAGTGAACAGTAAAAGGGACGAGAGATGTAGGACTATAGTTTAAGGTGATGGCAAGGCCAAGGGAAGACGTATTTACAATAGGGAAGACAAGAGAATGTAGCTAGTGGAGAATTAGCCAGTAGACAGAAGATGAAGAGAGAAGGAATGATTGATAGGGGCAAGGTTTTAAAGAAAATGGGGGATTTAGCCATAGGCAAGGTGAAAGGTCACCATATCTGCTCATATTAGAGCAAAGGAGAAGTTGAAAATGTAGAGAGGTTTCAGCATGTGAATAGTAGGAGATGACTCATACCATATGACTTTGAATTATTTATTTATTTTTGGATCAGTAGAAACAGAGTCATCTACTAAGAAAAGGAGGAATTAGAGTCACAGGAGACTTGAGGAAAAGGTTTGTAATGGTGAAACCACTTTAGGAAATGTGATAGGTAGAGATGAATAAAAGATAGCTATACATCAGTGTGGGCCGGGTTAATCTGAGTGGATTCAATTGCCAATCAGCAGCATTTCACATTTTGGGAGTAGAATTGGTGAAGAGAGAAGATGGAAATAACTGAGGGTGGAGATTGGCAAGATATGAACAATGGAATGACAAAGGGTCAGGGATTCAAAGGGGTGAGAATGTATCCTGTTGAATTAGATAACTAATTCTATATAACTAATTAGATTCAGTCTTGACCAAGGTTGGGGAACCTGTGCCCTTGAGGCCACATGTGGCCCTTTAGATCCCCAAATGTGGCCCTTTGACTGAATCCAAACTTCACAAAACAAATCCCCTTAAAAGGATTTGGACTCAGTCAAAAGGCCACACTTGAGAATCTAGAGAGGGGCATATGGCCTGGAGGCCACAGGTTCCCCACCCCAGGTCTTGACCATACATTAAGTGAGATCAGAACAAGAAAGGAGAGTGAGTGGAGGACATCAGAAAAAATGAAGCTGAGGACGAGATATAAGAATAGGAGATTATGATCAGAGAGAGGAATTTCAGAATTCAAGATCTTGGAGGTAGAATAATTTTGGGTGATGGTGAGGTGGAGACTGACCAAACCTTTGTGTGATAGAGTGTGATAGAGGCTGAGATAGAGTTGAGGTGGTAGTCATGTGAATTGAGGAGACTGATAAAGCCAAAGACCATGATGTTAAGAGGGTCATGAATATGAATCCTGAAATCTTAAAGGATGAGGGCAGCAGTTTGGTTAGAGAAGAGACTGTAGGAGGCAGTATAGTGGACAGAGCACTGGCCTTGAATTCAGGAAGACCTAGACTCAAATCCTACCTCAGGCACTAGCTGTGTGAACCTGGGCAAGTCATTTAGCCTTTCTATGCCTCAGTTTCCTCATCTGTAAAGTGAGGGGGTTGAACTCAGTGCCTCTAAGGTCCCTCCTAGCTTTAAAATCTATGATCCTACCAGTCAGTTACTGATTCCTTGAGATAGGAGGGAGAGTACTAGATGCCAGCAAAAGAGCATCTGGATAGGATGGCATTGATAAGATGGAGTAAATATCAATGCAGTAGAGTGTACTAAGAGGGGATCTGGAAGTAGCGCAAGATGTTTATGTGGGGGGGGAGGGAGATGGAGGAGAATGAGAGATCAAGGAGAAAACACTGGAAAGGGTGGCGAGGAAGGAATTATCTTCTAAAGAAATCCGTGTTTCTGTGAGTGTCCTGAGGTGGGAAGAATATCAAAGAAAGTGATGAAGGGGAGTTTGTTAACTATATTTGAATTCTTGAGGGCATATTAGAAGATGAAGGCAGGGGAAAAAAGGGATGGGGAATGAATTGAGCCAAATTGAGTTAGTTGAAAGTGTAGGAGAAAGTTGGCAGGGCAAAGAGGTCTTTGACTTGGCAGATGATCACTGAATCACAGAGTATGTGGAGTGAAAGGTAGGTATTTGCTAGTAATAGGAGAGAGGAAGGATGGGACAGTCTGTAGACTAATTTGGCCTTAATTAATTAGAAATCTGGGGCAACCAGGTGGTGCAGTGGATAGGGTACTGGCCCTGGAGTAAGGAAGACTTATCTTCCTGAAGTCAATTCCTGCCTCAGACACTTACTAGTTGTGTGATTCGGGGCAAGTCACTTAACCCTGTTTGCCTCAGTTTCCTCATCTGTAAGATGATCTGGAGAAAGAAGTGGCAAACCACTCCATTATCTTTGCCAAGAAAACCCCAAACGGGGTCCTGAAAAGTAGGAGAGGACTGAAAATAACTGAACAATTAGAAATCTGGTAGGCTTCTCTGGCAATGGTTTCTTTCAGGTAGAGCTTCCATAATTGATCTGAGGGTTGGGGATCAGTGGCCACTAAGTTCACCTGGTGAAGAAGGGCTGAGGAGTCATTTTGATTTATCCATGCACATACATATTCGTCCCTCTTATCCAAGGGCACACGTTTGCAACCAGTCATGAAGATAAATTCGTGAAATTATGCTAAATTTACTTCTCTCGCTCTCTTCTCTATTCCTAATCCTTAACTTGTTTGTAGGTAAACCTGGTTCTCTGCCAAATGATATTTGGCATTAGCCTGGGAGATTTATGCAGCTTCAACTGATGTAGCGCTTGTTGGAGGAGTGGGAATGAACAAGAGGCTCTGAAACTCCCTGGTGACTAGGATCAAAGAAACGTTTCCTTTTCACAGACATTTAAAAATACATATTTCTTTGTAATCCCTATTGCCTAGTACAGTGCATTGCACATAGTACATACTTAATAAATGCTTGATGGATTTTTTAAAAAACACAGTGACTCTAATTTCTTTTCAAGTTGTAGTAACCTGTGTTTTTGAGATTTGATACAAATTTATTTTAAAATCTTCACTTTATTTTGGAAACTTCAGGGGTCAGCTAGGTGGCACAGTTCATAAAGTGCTAGTCTTGCGGTCAGGAAAGATCTGAATTCAAATGCAGCCTTAGATATTTACTCATTATGTGACCCTGGGCAAGTTATTTGACTTCCCTTATATTCAGTTTCCTCATCTGTAAAATGGAGGTAGTAATAGGAAGTTTTTCAAGGGCTGTTGTGAGAATAAAATAAGATATATGTAAAGTTCTTCGCAGATCTTGAAGCACTATCTAAGTACTAGCTATTATTGTTATGATTCTTTCTGGAGATATTACCAACACCTTTTGAAATAATTTGTGACAAAGTTGGACACTGCAGAAGTTTAGTTGAGACCACTGATTTAAATATTCTTTAAAAGTTACAGATGCACTGAATTCTTGCTATCATACTTAACTATAAAAATTCTTTTTATAAAGCATTTCTATAACGAGAAAGGCAGAATAATTTAAAGGGAGTTTAATTATTTAACTCCCTAAGGAACCTAAGTTTCCATCTAAGACATTACAGGATAATTCACCAGTCTGATGCAGTGGAAAAGGCATTGTATTTCAAACTAGCGGATCTGGTTTTGAATACTTGTTGTACTTGTTACTTGTGTGAACATATGCAAGTCACTTAACTCTCAGGGCTGATTTGCTTATTAGCAAAATGAGTGGTTTGGAGTAAATTATGTCTAAGGCTTCATTTGGCTCTAAATCCTCAGTTCTATGTGAAACACAAGAGTGGTATTATAAGGCTAAGGCCATGAGCATGCATATTTGAAATTTGTTTTGTTTGTTTCTTTATATCAATAGTAATAAAATGTAGTCTGTGTCTTCTGGGAATATCTGTATGTCATCCCATGACAAGTACTGTTCTGGGCACACAAGTGGGAATTTATTAAACTTAAATAAAATAAAATATTTGATAACAAAACATATAGAGTAGTCTGAATTGAAAAGAGCATTTAATATCATTATATATGCTTAGCACAGTCATTTGTATATAGAAGATGCTTTAATAAAGGAGTGTTGAAGGTGTGAACATTTGGTAATGTTTTCTTACCAAAAATACTACTAGTTTCAGTGATAATAGGTTTATAATTCTCTTAGAAATTTAGCGACTGATGCTAGTAATTCAGTGTAGACAACTTAACTTATCTTTTCTACTCTAATCTAAAGCACTGTTAATTTCTTTCGAATTTCTTTCATAGTTCGATATATCTATCCTGCACGGTACTTAAGACAGATCCTTGAGGATGAAGACACAGTGAAATTGGTAGGATCAACAAACATTCCAGGTATTTATAAATTAAATAATAAATAACCAGTGCTTCTGAGAAAGTAATATGTATACTTTTAATTAAAATCCATTTTAGCCCCAGAAATTAGAAGACAGTGCTGTGTCTCTTCATGTCCCCAGGATCATTTTTACCAAATGGTTGTGTCCATCCAAGTTCAACCTTGCTTGCTGCACCTACTTAAGGTTTTGTAAAGAAATGATATATGTAGTATCTGGGCAATTAATCCTTTCTCAAAGTTAATTTGAACATTTAAGAGTATGTAAAATATCATACCACTCTATTACAATAGTGTCGAAGATATGCACTGTAGCTGTTGATCTATTTTTAAAAATTAGGTATCTTCATAATCTCATGTTTTGAATTCAGTCAATCCCAATTGATAGTTTTACTTTGAGATCCACCATATTTAAACAAGAGTAGGAAAACCAGTAGGGGGAAAAATCTTGTTTATTTATTTATGCTATTTTTGTTTGTTAAAGTAGGCTTCTTTTGAAACAGTGAATGTTTGAATTCAACTTTTGGTCTTTTTTGCGGTCCTTCAAAATTTTATTTCGTGTGACATGACAGATTGATTTTAATTACTTGAGGGGGTTATTATTTTTGTTGTAGTATTTTAGTACCTTTTTCCTCTTTCTGCTTTCTCAAGCCTCATATCAGTGCTCCACTATTTTACCTTTTTTCCTGATTCAGGATCCTCATTCCAACTTCTGGGTTTTCCAAGGTAAAGATTCCCATTGTTCAGCACTTCACATTACTCAGATGACCTAAAGAAGGCATTTGTAACAGTTCATTCTGCATTCATTTGCATCCCCCCAAAATAATATGTTTTTCTTCTAAATTTATAGTTTGTAACATTACAGAATATGAATTTTAGTCTGTTAATCTTGCAGTTGTTCTTGGTGATCATCATATACCCATTTCATTTAGTTATAAAATGCAAACATTGTTAAATACTGTACTTTGCTCTTTGCTTTCTATTAAATTTTGTACAGTGAGGACTTAAGTTGTATGAAAATAAGTAACAAATATATTGCAGAAGTAGGTTTGTGTTGAGGTGTCAAACTCAAGGGTAGCAAAACTCCAATAGCTGGAACCAGGTTAAAATATAATTGGAAAATATTTAACAAAACAAATTAAAATTATAATACATCATAGATAATGTTAATTTGTGGTTTTCTGTTATGGGGCTCAGCCATTTCTATTTGGGTTTGACATTCTTCCTGTAAACAGTATCACTCTAGAAATTTAATCATCTTCTTGTTGTTTCTTCTGGTTGCATATGCACCTTTTGTGGAATTGGTATAACTCTCAGTACTCCTAGAACAAAACCATAGTTGATAGTTTTTTTTAAATAAATTTTTGTTGATTTTTTAAAAATTTATTTTATTTTATTGTAAAACCAAAAGCTCAACCATCTCATATGCTATTACCATTTGATTGTTTTTATAAATAAAACACCAAGAAGAGGGTTTGTTTAGGATTGAGAGGGAAGCAGCCCAATTTTCTCTCTTATCGTGATCAAAACTTCCGGTCATGCTTCATCTTCCCTTGTATTTTTATTGCTTCTGTGAATAAAGATGAAAAAAGGTTTGTTCAAATTTGCTTATGGTAGAGGTGAGGAAGCAGAGTGAGCCCAGGGTGCACACAGTCCACACAATCAAGCCCAAGATAAATTGGGAGATAGAAAATGCCATCAAGTCACTAGACTCTGACATACTCCTTTCTTGGATTTTGAAAGAAAGGGTGAATGTAATTGTTGAGCTAGTGACAAATTTTTGAAAAATTTTGGTGAATGTGAGAGGTCATAAAAGACTAGAGATGGCAGATATTTTGATTTCTTTTTTAAAGACATATAGTAGAGTGTGTAAGTAATGGTTCAATGAATTGGACTTGCTTCCATCTGTAATCTCTTATTTAAAGAAATGGTTATTAAGTATCTACATGGCTAATGTTGATCACAGAGGATCAGTGTAACTTAACTAAAGATGGTTCATGTTGGACTAACATTTTCCTTCTTTCTCTCCCTTCCTTCCTTCCTTTGACTGATGGGAGATATCAATAATATTTATCTAGATTTTAACCAAATCTTTTAACCAAAGCCTCTCCTGCTATCCTTGTCAGAAAGCTGGTGAGCTATGAAGTATTATGAGAGTTTAGGGTATCTAAAACCATATAAGTGATAGTCTAGCTATTCTCTTCCCATGGCAGATAATCTCTGGAATATTAGGTTCAGTTCTGATACCACATTTTGAGAAGGAGAGTGATAAGCTGGAGGGTGACCAGAGGATAACAGATAGTATGTGAAGAGTCTTAAGATCATGCCATATGAGGACTGGTTAAAGGAATTATAGATGTTTAATCTGGAGAAATTTTGTGTTTTGTTTTGTTTTGTTTGGTTTTGTTTTGTGGGGTGGGGCAGAGGTGGTTTGTAAGTATTTTAAGGGTTGTAATTTCAAAGATAGTGGGTAGAGTGGATAGTGGTGGATAGAGTGCTGGGCCTGGAGTCAGGAAGACTTAGCTTGAGTTCAAATCTGTCCTCAGACACTTATTAGTCTGTGACTCTGGGCAAGTCACTTAAACTCATTTAACTCTGTTCCTCATTTGTAAAATGATCTGGAGAAGGAAATGGCAAACTGTTCTAGCATCTTTGCCAGAAAAATCCCCAAATGTGGTCATGAAGACTTGGACACAAATAAAACGACTATGCTAGACTTAATCTCAGAGGACTGAACTAGGAGCAATAGCTGGAAGTTTTAGAGTCACAGAATTGGACTCAATATAAATAAAAACTTTTTAATAAATAATGTTGTCCCATAGTGGAAGGACAATAGGAAGTAGCAGGTTTTTTCTTCCTTGAGAATTTTAAGCAGAGTATGAATGACTACTTGTTGGGTATTTTGTAGAGTATTTTATTATCTCAGTGAGGATTGGATTAAATGGAGCTAGAGGTCCCTTCTCTTTTCGTGCTACTCTAAAGAAACCATAGAGGGGCCAGAGCCAATATGGCACAGTAAACGCAGTGACTTGCTTGAGCTCTCCCCCAAACCCCTCCAAATACTTGTAAAAAATGGCTCCAAACAAATTCTAGAGCAGCAGAAGCCGCAAAAATACAGAGTGAAACAAATTTCCAGCTCAAGACCACCTGGAAGGTTCGGCAGGAAAGGTCTCTTGCACCAGGCTGGGAGAGCAGCACAGTTCAGCATGGGCCACAGCAGCAAAGACCAGGCCTCAGCAATCCTTGAGCAGGCCTCAGGGAACTGAATCATGGACAGTTGTGGCAATTTCCAGACTTCTCAATCCACAAACACCAAAGACAATTTAGAAGGTCAGTAGGAAAGGTCTATCAACCATGGTGAGAGAGGAGCTTGGTCTAGCCTCAGTCCCTGCACAGCCCCTGGGTGGCGGCTGCTTCTAGAGTCTCGGCCCACAGAGAAAGGCAGGATCCAGTGGCTGATCAGAGAGGGATTGCAGGGATCTCTTTGCTGGTGCTGAGGCAGGATTCTCTTGCTTTGCATGCTTGGATCTGGGTTGCAGTTGTGGGTGGTGGTCCTGGGGCAAAGAGCGCTGGCATGATGGAGCTTGTGGTGGCATGGAGAGGGAATCCCCCTCACAGTTCCAAGGCAGAAAAGAGTGCTTGTGGTCATTCATCGACCAGAGCACAAGCCAGTAAAGGAGTAAACACCTCACACTTGATCATACCACCTTGGAAGAACTGAAGACTTACAGGTCCCTAGGAGTAACTCTGAAACAGCTCCACAAAACCCCTAAAGCTTGGGGTAGTACATTCTTCATGTTGGAAGCAGACCCCTACCTTAACAAAGAGTTTATAACTCAAGTAATTGGCTGGTATCATGAGCAAACTTTGCAAAAAAAAAGTCAGACCATAGAATCTTACTTTGGTGACAAAGAAGATCAAAACATACAACCAGAAGAAGACAACAAAGTCAGAGCTCCTACATCCAAAGCCTCCAAAAAAAAAATATGAATCAGTCCCAGGCCATAGAAGAGCTCAAAAAAGATTTTGAGAAACAAGTAAAAGAAGTAGAGGAAAAACTGGGAAGAAAAATGAAAGTGATGCAAGAAAATTGTGAAAAACAAGTCAACAGCTTGCTAAAGACCCAAAAAAATACCAAAGAAAATAACACCTTGAAAAACAGACTAAGGGGCAGAGCAAAGATGGCAGAGTAAAAGCAGTGACTTGCTTGAGCTCCCCCAAAACCCTCCAAATACATGTAAAAATGGCTCTAAACAAATTCTAAAGCAGCAGAACCCACAGAAAGACAGAGTGGAACAAATTTCCATCCCAAGACAGCCTGGATGGTTGATAAGAAAGGTACATTGCGCCGGGTAGGGAGAGGAGCGCAGTTCAGCATGGGCACATAGGCAAAACAGGCTTTAGCAAACCTGGAGCAAGCCTCAGAAGACTGAATTGCCAGGAAATGTGGCAGTTTCCAGACTTCTAAGCACCTGAACACCAAAGACAACTTAGAAGGTCAGTGGGAAAAATCTGTGACTGTAGTGAGAGAGAAGCATGATCCCAGCCCCAGTCCCCGAGCTCGGCCCTGGGGCAGCGGCTGCTTCCAGAGCTTCTGGCCCACAGACTGAGGCGGAATCGAGTGGCTGATCAGAGGGGGATTGCAGGGATCTGTCTGCTGCTGCAGGATTCTCTTGCTTTGCCCATGCTTGGATCTGGGTCACAGTTCTGGGTGGTGGTTCTGGGGCGAGGAAGAGTGGAGCTGGTAGTGGTGGTGGAGAGGAAATCCTCTTCACAGTTCCAAGGCAGAAAAGAGTGGCTGTGGTCACTCATAGACCAGAGTACAGGCCAGGAAAGAAATAAACACCTTGTTCCTTGTCATAACACCTTGGAAGAACTGAAAATTTACAGATCCCTAGAAGTATCTCTGAAAACAGATGCACAAAACCCCCAAATCTTGGGACAGTACATTCTCCACACTGGAAGCAGACTGCTACCTTAACAAAGAGTTTAAAACTCAAGTAATTGAGTAGGAGCATGACCAAACCTTGCAAAAAAAGTCAGACCATAGAATCTTACTTTGGTGACAAAGAAGATCAAAACATACAACCAGTAGAAGACAATAAAGTCAAAGTTCCTATATCCAAAGCCTCCAAGAAAAATATGAATCAGTCCCAGGCCATGGAAGAGCTCAAAAATGATTTTGAGAAGCAAGTAAGAGAAGTAGAGGAAAAACTGGGAAGAGAAGTGAGAGTGATGCAAGAAAATCATGAAAAACAAGTCAACAGCTTGCTAAAGTAGATCCAGAAAAACACTGATGAAAATAATAACTTAAAAAATATCCTAACCCAAATGGCAAAAGAGGTCCAAAAAGCCAATGAGGAGAATAATGCCTTCAAAAGAAGAATTGGCCAAATTAGAAGCTAGTGACTTTATGAGAAATCAAGACACTGTAAAACAAATCCAAAAGAATAAAAAAAATAGAAAACAATGTGAAATATCTCACTGGAAAAACAACTGACCTGGAAAATAGATCCAGGAGAGAGAATTTAAAAATTATTGGACTATTGAAAGCCATGATCTAAAAAAGAACCTAGATATCATCTTTCAAGAAATTATCAAGGAAAACTGCCCTGGTATTTTAGAACCAGAGGGCAAAATAGAATTGAAAGAATCCACTGATCACCTCCTGAAAGAGATCCCCAAAGGAAAACTCCTAGGAATATTGTAGCCAAATTCCAGAGTTCCCAGGTCAAGGAGAAATATTGCAAGCAGCCAGAAAGAAACAATTCAAGTATTGTGGAGACACAATCAGGATAACACAAAATTTAGCAGCTTCTACATTAAGGGACCAGAGGGCAAGAATTATGATATTCCGGAAGGCAGAGGAGATAGGACTACAGGCAAGAATCACCTACCCAACAAAACTGAGTATAATCCTTCAGGAGAAAAATGGTCATTCAGTGAAATAGAGGACTTTCAAGCACTCCTGATGAGAAAACCAGCGCTGAATGGAAATTTGACTTTCAAATACAAGACTCAAGTGAAACATGCAGAGGTAAACAAGAAAGAGAAATCATAAGAGACTTGTTAGGTTGAAGTGTTTATATTCCTGCATGGAAAGATGATATTTGTAACTCATGAGACTTTTGTTAGTATTAGGGTAGTGGGAGGAAAAATTATATGTATTTAGATAGATAGATAGATAGATAGATAGAGGGCACAGAGTGAGTTGAAGATGAAGGGGTGATATCTGGAGAATAAAATTAAGGGGTGAGAAAGGGTTATCCTGGGAGAAGGAGAACGGGAGAGGTAAAATGGGGTAAATTATCTCACATAAAACAGACAAGAAAAGGCTTTTATAGTGAAGGGGAAACGGGGGGAGGTGAGAGGGAATAAGTGAATCTTATTCTCATAGGATTTGGCTTAAGGAGGGAATAACATACACACTGAATTGGTTATGGAAATCTATCTTACCCTATAGGAAAATAGTGAGGAACGGGTTAAGAGAGGGGATGATAGAAGAGAGGACAGATTGGGGGAGGTGGTAATCAGAAGCAAACACTTCTAAGGAGGGACAGGGTCAAAAGAGAGAATAGAATAAATGAGGTGGGATAGGATGAAGGGGAATATAGTTAGTTTTTCACAGCATGACTACTATGGAAGTGTTTTACATGACTACACATGTATAACCTTTATTGAGTTGCTTGCCTTCTCAATGAGGGTGGGGAGGGAGGGAGGAAGGGAGGAAATTTGGAACCTAAAGTTTTAAAAACAAATGTTAAAAATTGTTTTTACATGCAGCTGGGAAATAAGATATACAGGCATTGAGGTATAGAAATCTGTCCTGCCCTACAGGAAAATAGAAGGGAAAGGGGATAATAGAAGGGGGAGAGGTAGAAGGGAGGACGGATTAGGGGAAGGGGTATTCAGAATCCATGCCATTTTTGCGTGGGTGGTCGGGGCAAGATGGGGAGAAAATTTGGAACTCAAAATCTTGTGGAAGTGAATTTTGAAAACTAAAAATAAATATTTAAATAAATTAAAAAAAAAGAAACCTTAGAGATCATCTAGTCCAACCTCCTTATTTTTCCAAAATATAAAACTAAAGGTTAGGAGGGCTTGTGTTATTTGCCACAAATCACATAGCTTGGAATTTCTTTTTTTTTTTTTTTATAGTTCCTTTTGAAGCTTTGTTTTACACTCTAGCAAAATATATGTGTGTGAGTACACAAGATATTTATGTGTGAATTAATTTTTTTATTTAATTGAGTGTATACCTCATAAATATGCAACTCTAGATATGTTATGAATAGAAGCATACGTTATACATATTTGTTGGGAGGAGGAGACTTTAGATTTAGACTTCAACCGTGTGGGGTTTTTTTTTTTTCATATCAACCCATCTTTTTTCTCTAGTTGTCTGGTCTTGGCACTTTACTATTGATGCCAGAGGTTCATAGGAATAGTCATGTGTGATATCTCTGTGTTCTTGTTGATATGTTGTATGTGGGTTTGCGTGTGTATGTGTGTATATCTATGCATGCAAGGCCACTTCATCCATAGGGTAGTAAGTGTCTAGATGAACAGCTTCTGGCAGCCTATAATGACTTTTTTTTCCCTTGGAGACTCAAGGGAATGATTGTGATTCTTAACATTAAGATGTATTCCTGACACATGGAATCTTCAATTAGAACAAAGACTTGACATTTCTAAAATGTTGCTTGACCCTTCAGTAAAAAAAATCATAATGTAAAAATGCTTAGAAACCGTTGATAGATGTTCCATAGAGGAAAGTAGTAGACCTGAAACTTTCTGAGGAGGCACCACAAAGATAAGTTTAATCAGATCATGTTATGGAGGCAGTGTGGGATGAGGCAAAGAGAACTGGCCTGGGAAGTACAAGTTAGTGAGTCAGTCAACAGCTAAGCACTGGGGATGTGAAGAAAGGCAAAAGCCTTCTTCTTTTCATCAAGGAGTTCACATTATAGGGATGGAAGTTAATATGTAAATACTATATACATATAAAATATTTGTCTTCTACTTATTACCCTACCTTTATGTGACTGGTCATATAAAGTCATAAAAACCTTTTAAATTCTTTGATCTTATTTTTCCCATCTGAAAAATGAGAATATTAGACAAAGGATCTCTAATATTCCTCTTGTTCACAATTGGAACATAGAGAAAGAAGTATTATATCTCTTCTGTTCTAGGACATTGTTACCTGTTTAGCCTTAGGCAAGTCATTCAGCTTCTCTGAGCACTGGTTTTCCCATCTGTAAAATGAGAAGGTTGTTCTGCAGGACAGTATGACCTCTGAAGTCCCTACTGGCTCTCGATCTATGATTCTGTGTTCCTGTGAATAGGAAAATCAGCTGTGATCCTTAAAAATGATAAGATGATTTCTGAATTCTCTTCAACTCATGAAGAATCCAATTATGTGAATTAGAAATAATCCTTCCGAAAATCAAGGTCGCAGAGTGCCTTCATGTGTAGAACTATTTGACTATATATTGAACTCACGAATTAGTTTCTTATTTTATATAGGAAATTAAGTCACACAGATGCCTTTGTTATGCCATGAGTGTTTTTATTTACCCTTCAATATAAGAATCCCTTTCAATTTATAAACAATTTTTATAAAAGGAACAATAGATAGGACAGAGTTCAGACAGGAACATTGTAATCTGCATTGTAATTTCTAATTAAAGAATTCTCTTTTAAGAAGAATATAAATTACGGTAGGTAAGTAGAAATATTTTTGAATGATAAAGACTAATTTATTAGAGACATTGAAGAAAATTAGTGGAAAAAGAAGAAAAAAAATTTCTACTCTTTTAAATTACATTTCTAGATTTATAAGCCAAAGCTACAAAATATTTTTCTTCTAGAAGTAAGGGCAATTATTATAGAATTAGAGTAACTGTAGAAAAACACAACAAAATCCTAACATCTTTGTTTTTATGGGTTAAGTTTTATAGTACTAATATATTAGTATGGAAAAATCATTAATGTAGAAATATAATTGACAATTTCGAATATTATATTTCAGTCAAAATTTATGTCATGTTGCATCAGAACAGTCCTCATATACTATGTGTAACCAAAAAGCTGCATGATGTAGAGTTGGTAGACCCAGTATTCCGCTGGCATACACCAATTGGTAATGCTATTCCAGGTAAGATTTTGTAGTTTTTATTGTAATTACTGAGAGATATATTTAATGTATTCAGTAGGAAAGGTTATGGTATGTGCCTCATAAGTGAATTTATCCTTTCACTTAATGTTTTCATTTAATTTTTGAATGAGGTGTTTTAGAGTCCAAGTTTTAGAGTCTGAGATTGCAGTAACTATTTCTTAAGGAGGATAAATTTGAAGTAAGGAAATGCAGACACAGCAGAGATCATTGAGCGGTTTGAGATAATTCAATAACCTTTAAATATTCCAAAGGAAATTCTTTCCATATTGTTTGAAATATGCAGCTTACTTATCTTGCTTAGATTATTTTGTGATCTCTTTCTTTAACTATTTGTAAATATTTTGAGAAGCAGATTTGTTCTTTGGTGTCTAAGGAAGGTGTAAGTAAATATGTACTTAGATATATGTAGTCATAAATAGAGAGCTTTATTTTACTTGCACAGTCACATCCAGTAAGACTACTGGTGAATCAATTCAGAATACCTTTTATAGGTTGTTCTAAAATATTTTACCAAATAAGATTTTGGACATAACATACTATTATATTTGTCTTAATTTTGATTTTTATTATTCACTGAATTATTATTCGGTATAATACACAGTATTTCTAAGTATTAAAATTAAGCTTTTAAGTATTAATTCTCTACCCTTTGGTTTCCATTACCTGGTAGTTATTTTGATTAAGCAGCTCTCCTCTGTTTCAGATGTCATCTTTTTCTCTCTTATATCTTCAATCCTTCTTTCTCTGCTGACTCCTTCCCTTCTGCTTATAAACATACTCAGATCTTCTGTCTCCAAAAATCCTTCCTTTGCTCTCACTACTCTTTCAAATTATCATCATTTCTCTTTTTCTTCACTGTCAAACTTCAATAAGGAATAATTTAATTTCACTACCTAAACTTAATCACCTACTCATTCCTTAATTCCTTGCAGTCTAATCTTAATTCTATCCTTACAATTTTATTGCAGTTTTTGCTCCAGGATTGCTGATAATCTCTTTATTTTCAAAGTTTATGACTTTTTTCAGTCCTCCTCCTACTTGATCTGCTTCTGGATTACCTCCTCCTTGATACTCCTTGATACCTTCTTTTGACTTCTAGATTAATCCTTTCCCTTTTACTGGATCATCATCTTCCTCGTAGACATTAAATATGCGTGACTGCTGAGGATCTGTTTCTTAGGTTCTCCTCAGTCTCGGTTTTTCATCCTCTTCTTCTTGAAGTGCGGTAATTTTTTTTAAACTCACAGAACTTAGCATAGTCCTTGCTATATAGTAAGCACTTAACAGATGCTTATTCTCTTCTTCTGATTCTTTAGTGAACTTGTTATTACCAGAATGATGGCAAATCTATATTTCTTTTTTTGATCTTTGCCCAATGTTAATTCATAATATCAGGTGTCTTCACCTGGTTGTCCTCCTGGCATCTAATACTCAATTTATTCAGAACCAAGCTGATCATCTTTTCTCCACAATTTACCATTCTTCCTAGCTTCTCTGTTTCTGTTGATACTACTGTTACCTTCCCTTGCTCAAAACCTCTGTGCAAAACCTGCATTCAACTTGGACTTTTTCCTTCTCATACTAGATCTTTTCAGTCGTTAAGTACAATAGATTCTACCACCTCACCATCTCTTAAATTTTGCCTTCCCTTAAATTTCCACTTCAATCACCTTAGTTAAGACTTTTATCATCCTTCAACTGGGTTCTCATGTAATAACCTTCTAACTGTTCTGCTTTCTTCCATTCTCTTCCCTCTTCAATATATCATTTACTTCTGTACTCCTAGTCTTTCTAATGTATGCAACACTCTAATTGCATTATTCTTCTACTTAGAAACTTTCAATGTCTCTTTATCACTGATTTAATAAAGCATAACTCCTTATCTTTTTGTCTCCATAATTCTGGCTCCAACTTGCTTCTGGATTTCTCTCATATTCCTTCTTATCATAGTCTACACTACAGCCAAATATATCACCCTGTCCCTTTCAAATCTGCCCTTTCCTATGCCATTTCCTTTGCTCACACAATCCCCAAAGCCTTGAACAGACATTCCTTCTTCTTTTTAAATCCTTTACCTCCTTCAAGATCCAAATCATATACTACCTCCTTCATGAAGATTTTTCTAATTATTCTCAGTTTAAAGCAATCACTGCTTTCTCATATTTCTTGTAGCAATCTATAGGATCCTTTTATTTTCAACAAACATATTCTGCCTTCTATTAGGTTTGTTTTTGTTGTTAATGTCTTATTTCCGTCGTCACCCCTTTCCGCTTTCCCACCATTCATTGATGTTTCTTGAGGGAAAGAGTTATGTCTTATTTCATCTTTGTATGAGAAGCTTCTATCAGAGTACTTTGCATATGATAGACACTATTTAAATGTTTGTTGAATCGACTGGAAACAATACATTTAGTTGTTGCTTATACACATGAAGAAGAGATTTGAGCCAGACCTAGATGATAGGATACATTTTACCAATTTAAACGAATAAATATAAAACTATCATTTGCAAAAGAGTGTTTCTGTAGTTTCTGTAGTTGTGTTTCACAAATATATTTTTTCTGTTCTTTCTTATTCTCTATTGTAATTCTTAAAATGTATTTTGCTTTTGCTTCTCATTTGGTAAAAAATGATTTTTTTTTTTACCATTTGATTTAAAGAAATCCAAGTTAATGTAGCCGTTTTTATGTTCAGGCCTGCTGCAAATCCAGATTGATGCCTTGTGCTCCTAATGACCTGTTGGAAGAAGCATCCAATCATCATGTCATTGCCTCTGGGAAGAGGTTTTTTTTTTTTATTGCTGTAGTCACCATTTTTTTTTTCTTAACCTGTTGGCATTGTGAGATTGTGCCTAAGGATAAACATTTCTCCTTACCTGTAAGTTTCTCTTATTATCTTTAATGAAGGAAAAAGAAGACAGAAAAGCAGTATATGTATATGTGTACTAAAATTACAGCAAACATTTGTTTTAAGAAATAAAAAAAATCTATCTAGTTCATATTTTTACATAACTACAGAAACTTCTAATCCTGTACACTAGAGTTGGCATTCTTATATTCACTATAAAATGTCATAGAAGAATGTACCATACTAGATCAGATCGTTGTTAGTTATGTTCATTCTTTCAGAAGTAGTTGACTGCTTGCAGTCTACAAATCTCTGAAGAATACAAAGCTATATTTCCCTGAAGAGTCCATAGCAGCTTCTCTAGCACTGACGATCTTATAGGCCTTTACACTGCTAATTAGATACTTGTCACATTCCAGTTTGTAATATTTGTTTGGCTACTCCCCTTATTCTCCCTACTAGTTTGAAAGCTCCCTGAGGTTAGGGACTGTTATCTTATTTCTCTTTGTATGTTTTTGCCCCTAGGCCCCATGTCTAGTACTATACATTGTACTTACTGTGTAGTTAACAAATGAATTGAATGAATGAAGCCAGTGTGTTTTTTTCCAGGAAAGGCCCCTATCTCCCTAAGGCATCATAGAATTCTTTTAATTTTACATTGTGGTGTGTGTAGCACTATACAGGAAAAAAAAATTGTTCCTGTTATTGGCTTATTCTGTAGGTAAGATTTTTCATCTCTGGCACTAAGCAGTCTTTTTTCTGTTAAAATATTTAGTGGTAACTGATTACTTCTAGTTGTTAAAGTTCTTTCCACCTCAGAAAGTAGTTTGGTACCATAATCAGACAGGTAGCTGCCCCCAAATGAGCATAAAACTTAGCTGCAAAAAGCACCTTCCTCCAGATTTAGAGGATTCTTGACTTCTTTCAGAAATACATAAAAGGAAGTTAGTATTTAAAAATATCTAGTTTGTTAAAGCCCAAAGGTGCCTCTCCTGCATGAAATTACAATGAAAAAAGGTAATTCGTATTGCTGTTACTTTCATAAGACTTTGTGTTTTATTAAAATTAAAGATTTCTTATCACATCCTTAAGGAAAGAAATCCAGGTGTCTAAAAGAAATGCAATAAAATTAGGTTCTCAGTGGAGTAAAAGTCTGTTACTGTCCTGTTGAGGCTTCTGTCACCAGTTTTTGCACTAGTCTATCTGAAATTTAATCTCTTGTTATTATATTTATTTGATAATAAGAATAGTAACTAACATTCACATAGTTCATTTGAATAGTGTGTGGAAAGCTCTGTATATTCACTGATTCGACATTTACAACAACTCTGAAAGGTAGATATAACAGGTCTCCATTTTGTAAATGAGGAAATTGAGGCTTAGCATACAGCTAGTGAGTGTCAGAAGTAAGATTGGAATTCCAGTCGTCTTGACCCCCAAGTCTATCACTCTTTCAACTGTGCCACAATGTCAGAAAGGTAGTTTTATTAAATATCTATGATTAGGTGTTCTTGACAAAATAAATATCAACCGTACACATAGGTCTGTGCAGTGAAAGAACTATGATTGCCAGTTACAAAAATAAGCATCAGTCATACTGAAATATTTGTATGGCACTTTATGGTGAACCATCTCCTTTATATAATGATATTTTTTCCATTCTGTTTAATAGATGAGGACAATTATTACTTTGATTTTAAAACTATTTAAGTTATACACAAACTTTCCCCATTACTGTACAGTGGTGTGAATAATTACTACAAATGGAAAAATTACTTGAAAAGGACGTATTAATCTAGATTTCTTTTATTCATCAAGCATTTTTTAAGTTTCCCCATAAAACATTATAAAATTGTGCTAGTTGCTATGGGAGGCATAAAAAAAGGAACTTGAGTTTAGCAGTCTGCTTCAGGAGGAAAGAATATAACAAATGAAACTGTTAGAAAACAGTTGTGGAAAGCAGTAAATGTTAAGTGAACGTGGGTTAAGGGAATGAATGTTGGAAGAAAAGATTTCTTGGAGGGATTTCAGTTTTGAACTGACTGATTATATATATATATATATAATATATTATTATTATGTGTTATTAATTAAATAATTTGTGTAATATATTATATATAATTTATATATAA